AGCCGCAGGCGCCGCGCCAGGCTGCAGTAGATGGCCATGGCCACCACGATCAGCGGCGACATGATGACAAAGCCCAGGATGATCAGAGCCGASGAGCTGCTGTCGTCCAGGATGCTCTTGCAGTAGCGGGCGGAGGAGTGAAGAACCTGCGGGCACAGGGAGGGAGAACACGGGGTCAGCGGGGTGGAAAAGGGATTCAAGGGTCATCCCAGCATTGACCCAGCATGGAAAAGGGATCCAGGAGTGATCCCAGCATTGACCCGGGATGGAAAAGGGATCCAGGAGTGATCTCAGCATCAACCTGGGGTGGAGAACAGACCCAGGAGGGATCCCAGCATCAACCCGGGATGGAAAAGGGATCCAGGAGTGATCCCAGCATTGACCGGGAGTGGAAAAGGGATCCAGGAGTGATCCCAGCATTGACCCAGCATGGAAAAGGGATCCAGGAGTGATCCCAGCATCAATCTGAGGTCATTGGGGTGGAAAAGGGATCCAAGGATCATCCCAGCATCAACCCACTCTGCCCAGGGCTGATGCTTTAGGATTTTATTTTCTCTATTTTTCATGTATCTGTGATCCTGTAATTCCTTAGTGTTTAACTCCAGACTCCACAGACAGGGCTGAGCTCCTGCTCTCCCATTTTTACACAAAACAATTCCTCTGTAGCCCCAAACTCAAGGACACCTCACTGTGCCAGACCCCAAGAGATGGAAACAACAGAGAATTGGGGGAGACAACTTGGAGTCAATGACTGCATTGGTTGCAGCTGCAATTGGAGGATTCAGCCCCAATGTGCAAATGGACAAAAGTGAGAAAGGGTGAAAAACCCGTGAGCCATTGTCCATTGTGGGTGTGGGACTGCCCTGGATGCACCTGAAGGCCTTGCAATAAAAAGAATTTTTATTTTATTCTCTGAATTCTGTCCAGGGTCTGGTTTAGGTATCCCGATTTAGGCATTGGGGCCACCCTAAACCATTGTTCTGGCCCGGTGGTGACAGCCGTTGCCAAAATACCCTGGAGTTTCCAATATTTTCATGGAAAAAGAAACTTCTTCCTCCTCTCTGAGGTGCATTTTGTSACTGATATCACATCTTAATCAAAGTTTTCAATCATCCCAGGACCCCTGTGAGACAGGAGCATCCAACGTTGATCTTTATTAAATCACCAAACAGCGTTTGATGGGCACAAACCACATCAAAAGGCCTCCCGGTGTGGGTGGCACAACACTGGGAATGAGAAYAAAAGTAATCAAAATTCTGATAACAAAAGAAATAAAAATTTTGATAACAAAACAAATATAATTTTAAATAACAAAATAAACACAAGCACAGAAATCTGTTAGATTGTGCAGGCTGAGGTTGGTCATTCCACGGCTGGAAGCTCTCCAGACCCCTTTGTGTTTTGTTCTCTGTGTGCACTCATTTCTGCCTCTGAGCATCTCTCTGCACAGAAAAACCTGCCAGGAAAGTTAAATTTGCAAAGCTAAACCTCTCTGGGCCTGGCTGAGTGGTTTTAAAGCCCTCTTTTTCCAAGCTGCTTCTTCTGCAGGCAGCCCCCACACCCCCAGACCTCATCCTTTTGCTTCTGTCCTTTCAGCAGCAAAAAAAAAACCAACCCATCATCCTAAAAAAAMCCATAATAAACCCATCTAATGGACCTGCTGTGAAAAATCAGCCCCTGGCTGCTTGGAGGGCACTGAAAGCCGTGGCCCAAAGGCTCTGGTGAAGGATTGGATTAAAGGTTAGGATTGGATTAAAAGAAAATCTCTGTTAAAAGCAGCACAGGGGCTTTCACTTTTGGTCTACTTGGCTGCACTCAAAAACCTTTTTGCGTCTCCTCAAAGCCTTGGACTGTGCGTGAGAAGGAGGATTTGAGGATTTTTGAGGTGAGRGAAGCTGGAAGGGGCAGTTCTGGGAGGTTTTTTTCCCATTTTCAGTCGAATTTGCAGTCCCTGATTGTGATTATGAAACAGGAATATCGAGCTGGTCTAACAGTCCATGTCTGCAAGGAAAGTGGGGAATTATTTTTTCACATCACTCAGTTAAGTGACCTCAAAACTGCCAAGTGATCCTTAAAAATATTTAAAGGAATAGGTATAACAAGAGATTTGTAAGGAAGGAAATAATGAAATCCTGAGGACAGCAAACAGAGCCTGGGTGAGCAAAGGAGGTTCATTTTTGGTGTAAGGAATGCACAGAATGTTTGAGAACAGGAATATTGGATTGGCATAAAAAGGGCCAAAAATATATTCTGTCAGGCTTTACTAATCCTGTCATTAGGCTGAGCMTAACAGATCTTAAATTTAATTAAACAGAAGTCAGCAAACCCAACCAGGACTGTGAGCAGATCTCAGGGGCAGAAGTACCGGGGAAGAGGGAAATGCTGTGAAATTGAAATAAAATCAGGAAAAAAAATCGGTTTCCTGAGGGAAAAATCTGTTTCCTTAGGGAAAAAAATCTGTTTCTTTAGGAAAAAATCCGTTTCCTTAGGGAAAAATCTTTTTCCTGAGGGAAAAAATCTGTTTCCTTAGGGAAAAATTGGTTTCCTGAGGGAAAAATCTGTTTCCTTGGGGGAAAAATCAGTTTCCTGAGGGAAAAATCTGTTTCCTGAGGGAAAAATCTGTTTCCTTAGGGAAAAATCGATTTTCTTAGGGAAACAAAGCCAAAGATTGTTTTGTTTTGCCGGGCCTTTGCCGCCATTGCTCGAAGGAGCCCTCAGGGGCGGCCCCGCCCTCAGGGAGCAACGAGGGGAGCCCGGGACTCACCTGGGAGTGGCACTGGAAACCAAAATAAACCACGACGATGGTGGGGAGCAGCACGACGGTGAAAATAAYCAACATCAGCAGCAGATTGAGGAGAAAAAACAGTAAGTTCATGGTTGCGATGAGCAGGCTCCAGGCCAGGCAGCAGCAGGGGCTGCGGGGCTCGCCGGGAAGGAGCCGGTCGTCCATGTCGTAGGGYGGCATCATCCGAGACTTTTCCGAGAGGATTTCTGCTCCAAAATCCTCAGGATCGTGGACAGACATT